TCACTTGTAATTTGGAGCCCAGGTAGAGTAGTGGATTACGAGCTGGACTGCTAATCACAAGGTCAGTAGTTCAAATCTACCAGTCGCTCCACAGAAGAAAGATGATGCTTTCTACTCCCATAAAGATTCTGTTGTTGTTGTTGTTAAGTGCCATCAAGTTGGTTCCAACCCAGAGTGACCCTGTGCAGGGTTTCCGAGGCTATAAATCTTTATGGGAGCAGAAAGCCTCATTTACAGACTTGGAAAGAGGGATGTTGTGAGTTGGAACCGACTCAGTAACACACAACCACCATCACCACCACTTGGAAATACTCAAGGAATTTACCACCTGTTTAAGTAAAGCTGATGGGAACAAAGGTGCTTCAATGGTAGAATTGTCACCTTCCATGCGGGAGATGGAGGTTTAGTTCTCATCTGTCAGTAGAGGATGGTGCTGCAGTATAATGTGCTGGACTACAAGGTTACTTTGAACCACAAGGTCAGAGGTTCAAACCCACCAGCCGCTCCTCGGAAACCCTATACAGGGTCGCTATGGGTCTGAACCGACTTGATGGCACCTAACAACAACAATAACAATGACACTGAAGAGATCTCAGTGGAGCTTCCAGACTAAGGCAGACTAGGAAGAAAAGGTGTTCTACTTTGAAAACCAGCCAATAGAAACGCTACGGATCAGCCACGGCTCGCTGGCTTCTGCACTGCAACCCCAGGCTGAGCCAGTGCTGAACTACTGCTACTGCCTCAGAGCAGAACAGGGCTGTGCCTCCCACCTCCACTGACCCTGGCAAATCTGCTAGGGTTGTCGTCATCAAGGGCCATGGATTTGGTTTAATAAAACTTGATTTGAAAATAAAATCTGAGAATAGACTGGAATTTATAAACACAGACTCAGCCAACAATGAGACCGCCAAAGTGATGAGCAGTCTAGAAACCTATTAGAGATGGACTAAATCCAGGCTGATATTTATTGAAAAACATTGACAATACCAGGATTACGTGGAAGACCAGTTTACACGCCAACTGAGATTGACTTTGACTCACCTTTCTCACCCAACACTGGTGGGAAAATACAGTTAAAATCAAGACAAGGTGTAAGTGGGGAAACACCAACCTGGGCTGAGACATAGAATTTGACATCAATGGGCCTTCCGTCCGGGGTAGGCTACTCGCATGTGACCGCCAATTTGCACGTGACCCACAGCAACTCTGAGGTTAGATACAAGACTGAGGAACCCCAGCGTCACATGTGAATGACAGGACAGAGTTTGGTGGCTCCATTTAACAGAAGGAGAACAAGACGTTGGAGATTGCTATCCATTTCATCTGGGCAACAGGTAACACCTGATCCAGAATAGTAGTTAAGTCTCAGGTGGACCCTACCACCTGCTTCTCAGGGAAAAGTGAACAACTTCAGCCTGTTGGGTTATAGATACACTCAGAGCCTAAAGCCAGGCATCAAACAGATGCTGTCGGTCTTGCTGGACCGCAAGAATGTCAACTTCGGTGGCCACAAGTTTGGTCTAGGGCTGGACCAAGCATGAATGAACACTGTGTAGTCACTTCATTTTAAACTACTCTGCAGCACAGCTACCTTCAGAATTTTAGTGTACCTTTTTATGTATGGCATGCAAATATTGCTCAATACCATGTTAGACCTCAAAGTTAAAACTGACTTAGCTTTAAAGTGCTCCCCTTTCAGAGGGCAAAAGAAACCCAGTTCTAGAAAGGCCTGTCAGTTGTAGACTATAGGGGAACTTGGTGCCCCCTCTAGAGATGTCAGCTTTATTTTTTATCCCAAAATCACTGCATGTAGAGGCTTGTGGAAGCACTTTGCAAATTCATATTGCATAACTGAATGAAAGTCTGACTTCCTGAGAATTGAACCTTGCTTTCCTAACCCTAGCTCATTGCTTGATAATGTGCACAAACTCATTTGAAAGGGCCTTTTTTAGACAGTTCTTCATGACCAGTTTCATTACTTCTTTTTATACCAAAAGCAGTCTGCAGGGTGTGGTAGTTGATTTCTGTAGGCGTGCCATTTTGCGGTAGAGAGGGTGGAGGTGAGGCAGTCAATAATTCGGGGCTCTAATTCCCACTCAAGTTGTGGTTTTGTGCTCTTGCACCAGGGCATGAAATAGCTTCCAAGAGCTCCAGCTCCACGCTAGGAAGGCTCTCTGTAACTGTGATTACATGGTGACAAGACTCAGAATCTAACCTGGACTTGTGCTCTTCACTCAGTTTATTTGTTAGCTGTTTTGTTGTTCTTGTTAAGTGCTGTCAAGTCGATTCTGACCCATAGCCACCCTGTATAGGGTTCCCAAGGAGCAGCTGGTGGGCTTGAACCACTGACCTTGCAGTTCAAAAGACTTTGCAGTCTGATGCATTAGCCCACACCACCACACCAGGACTCCTGTTTAGTGGGTACATTTTAGAGTCTTCCATTTTGCCTGGAATTCAATCCTGCCCTTCAAATGCTATAACTAATATCACTTAAAATAAAACTGGACTCCTAGAGAAGCACTGGAGGATCTGCTAGCACTGGACTGAGAACCACATGATTGGCAGTTCCAGCTCACTAGCTGCTCCTCGGAAACCCTATCAGGGTCACTATGAGTCGGAACTGACTCGATGGGCTTAACAACAACAAAATAAAACTTGAATAAAATATTGAAATCTAAAAAAAAACAAAAAAACCAACCTTATGAATTCTAACAGTCTAATTCTCAAATGATCATGTATGTGGATCAGGCATACAGACCACGAGAAGATGCAGAAATGGACACGTTTTGTTCCATTGTGCATGGGGTTGCCATGAGTCTGGGGCTAACATGACAGCAGCTAATAACAAGTAAAGCGAAGCCTATTGACTAGAATGAAATGTGTTTGCTTCTTCTCCTGTTGGACACAGTGGAGGGCCTGGAGCGAGGAGAGCCTGGCTTGGGTGAGACAGGAGGGTGAGTACTAAGGAGCCTGAGGGGGTGCTGCTGAGAAAAGAGGCAGCCACTCTTTTTTTTTTTGAGGGAAGATTTGCTTTGTGAGGTATAATGCTCCTCTGGCATAGTATTAAACCTTCAGCAAACTCTACAGTTTGTCAAAACTCCCTGGAGCGGGTGGGGGGGATGTATGTGTGTGTGTGTGAGTGCACGCAATGTGCTTACTCTTGGAGGAGAGTATGATATGACATAGTGCTTACAACAATCCAGTGAGTGAGGTACACTTAGGGTGCCCATTTTACAAATGAAGAAACAAAGGCACAGAGAGGGTAAGCCGTTTAACTAAGGTCACACAGCTAAGCACTAACTAAAAGGTTGGAGGTTCAAGGCCACCCAGCGGTACCTCACAAGAAAAGACTGATGATCTGCTTCTGAAAAGTCACAGCCTTGAAAACCCAATGGAGCAGTTCTGCTCTGAATATACGGGGTCACACTGACTAGTTGGCAACTGGTTTTTGTTTGGATTATTTTCCTTGCTGAGCTTAGCCTTGTGGGGTGAGAGTTGAGGTGGTCCATGGTGGTCTGTTGGCATTCAACATACAATATGGTTATCTTCGTTTTTAGAGATGAAATGCTGGAAGCTTACAGAGGTTAAGTAACACACACAAGGGCTGAATGCTAGAGCTGGGTTTCAAATCTATACTGAAATAGTTAAGTAGAGAAATAGTAAAGAAAAAAAGTACTGATTGGTATTCCAAGTTTACTAAAACTTTATCAGAATACATAACAGATTCAGTATTTCGAGAGAGGAGTCAGTGAGATGCTATAGAAAAGTCATCATTATAGCTATTCAAATATTGCCTAAAATATTTATGTGCAATAACATAACACTGTATTTCACAAAAAGGAGCTCTGGTAGCATAGTGGTTACGAATCGGGCTGCAAACCACAAAGTCAGCAAAAGATTCATAGCCTCAGAAACCCTGTACAGGGTGGCTATGAGTCAGAACCGACTCCACAGCACATAACCAACCAATATTTCACAAAAGACTTGAGATTCAGATAGCAAGGAGCTAGATGGGGCTATCTGCTCCCATGAAGATTTCGTTTCAGAAACCCTGAGAAGCAGTTCTACTGTGTCTTACAGAGTCATTAGTTTTTGGAATTGAGTTGATGGTGGTGGGTTTGGTTTGGTTCGGCAGCATAAGGCAGAGAAATAGGTAGAAAGGATCACTAACTGTGAATGAAAGGCCAACAATTTCAAAAAACGGGTGGATAACTACAAAGTGAGAGTTTTTCGTTAGAGATGCCAACATCCTCTCCTGCTAGTTTAGGCAAAAGGAGATTTAGAGGAGGAAAAAAAAACAGCTTACAAAACCTTCAGGACTATCAGAAAAAACAGGTTTGGGGAATCAACAATCAGGACTGATAGAGCAGTTCTAGCCAAGACACCACCGCTGTGGCCACCTGCCACCTGTTAGATATGTCAGCAGGGACTGGATGCTGGATGCTTGAGTCTTTGCTCAGCTACCCACAAAGAACCAAACACTCCCACGGCCAGGCCCAACAGAAGCACCAATCGCCCCGTGTACTGTGTACACCTCACACCAGTCACTTCTACCTCCAAATCTTAAAGAGGAAAACCAGGTCATACACCTCAGTAATACAGGGAGGAATGTTAGAAGGGGGTTGAGGTGGTTGGTAATTGACATGAGGAAAGCCAATCAAAAGTAACTGCCGCCATTGGCACCAATGAGGATGGAAAGGCGATGTGGACACTGCATGGCATGGGTGTCCTTGGACAGGAAAGCGGGAGGACAGGATAGCTCGGTGCTGAGAGTGGGGGGACTGACTTCTTATTTTTTGGCTCCAAGACATTAAAGTTGTAGAAGAACAAGGTGCTACCAGGGGAAATCTGGGCTTCCATGATGCAGAGCTGGAAGCAATGTTCTAGAAAAGGGTCTTTCAAGGATGATGGCATCCTTTGAAATACTATGAACATCTTGGAAATGAACACTCCAAGTGCCTTGGATTCATTCATGCAACCTTAAGTCTTTAAGTCCATAGTCACAATGGTCTACCTATGTGAAGTAATTCCCTCTCCTTACCTTCATCTCCCCTGGTCCAAATCCTGCTGGCCGTCCTCAATAAACCATTTCCTATATGTCTATCTTCATTTCCTTTACTCCACATATGCTCGCAGACAGTCATCTCTGCCTCTATTTAAAATCCCCAGAGCATTTTGACACCTCATACATCATTCATCTCTTTTTGCCTGGTATTTAAAAATTAGTTTTACACGTGTCTTATCTCCCCAATGGAACTAAATTTCCTTAGACAGGATATACAAGGGCGAGTGAGTATTGTTACTAGGGTCCCACTTCATACATGCCTGAGTTTATTCCAAACAAAATCTGTTTATACATGTGACCAGTGGAAGTCTGCAGACAAGTTCTCTCAGTAGTATACCTGTCTCAAGCCCAGCAGGATGTCTTCAAAAATAGGGTCCAATCATAATAAATGGCTTCTAAGGGGATTTTTTGGGCCACTTAAATTCAAGGTAGAGAGGTCAGCTCAGAAGGTTATGGCAACTGTTTTTTGGAATTCCAAAGGGGTCATCTTGATAGATTTTCTCAAAGGACCCAAGATGATTGTGGGGGCTTAATAGGAACAAGTTTTATGAAAATTTAAATCTGTACTGAAAAGGTCAGGAGAGTTACGCCAAGGAATTTTTTTCCCATCACAAAAATATGCCTGCCCAGAACTGATGCTTTTGAATTGTGGTGTTGGAGGAGAACACTAAAAGTGCCATGGGCTGCCAAAAGAACCAATAGATCTGTTTTGGAAGAAGTGTAGCCAGAAGGCTCCTTGAAGGTCAAGATGGCCAAACTTCGTCTCTCATACATCGTACATATTGTCAGGAGGGACCAGTCTCTGGAGAAGGATATCATGTTTGGTAAGGTGGAGGGTCAGAGAAAAAGAGGAAGACCCCCAACAAGATGGATCGGCTAGGTGGCAGCATCGATGGACTCAAGTGTGGCAGTGGTAGTGAGGTTGGCCCAGGATCGGACATTGTTTCATTATGCTGTGCATGGGGTCGCTATGAGTCGGTTCCGACTCAATGGCACTTGACAACAACAACAACAACAATTCTTTGAGAGTAGAAAGGGCTGTCCTATAGGAACTTTCTTGGGAATCCTTACCCCAACCACGCTCCAACTGCGATTGTGCCCCTCCAGGGTTCAAAGAACAAATTCAAAGAACATTTAAAACGAACACAATGTGAGCCCCTTAAAAGATGCCAAAACTGTTGTTTTGATGTGGTGTAAATCAAAGAGCCCAGAACTCTTCGAGGAAGGGATAGAGAGATGGAAACACTACCTTCAGAAGTGTATAGACCAAAAAAGGAGGCTATGTCAAGAACTACCACCTTCACATTCTGATACTTCTATTTAATGATTTTTGTAGCAATAGTCTTTTACTTTACCTCATGTATCTGACCGACTTTTGCCTTCTTCTCAGTTACTCCGTTATTGCCTGTTACTGTGACGCTGGCAGCTATACCACTGGTATTTTAAATAGCAGCAGGGTCACGTATGGGGGACAAGCTTCAGCAGAGCTTCCAGACTAAGGTATACTAGGAAGAAGAAGAGGCAGACTAGTTGTTACCGTTTAGCCACTAAACACCTTATGAATAGCAGTGGATATGGTACCAGAAGGTGACTAATGCATTGTCAGACAGAGCCAGGAGAGGAGTTCCTCAGGTTGGAAGGCGCTGAAAATATTACCAGGGAAGAGCTGCCTCCTCAGAGTAGAGGTGACCATAATGATGTAGAAGGAGTAAAGTGTTTAGGGCCTTCATTTGCTGATGGGGCATAACTCAAAATGAAGAGAAACAGCTGCACATATCCATTAACAATTGGAACGTGAAATGTATGAAGTGTGAATCTAGGAAAAATGGAAGTTGACAAGAGTGAAACGGAACACACAAAGATTGATATCCTAGGCATTAGTGAGCCAATATGGACTGATATTGGTCATTTAGAATCACACAATCATATGGTTTACTATGCCAGGAATGACAAGCTGAAGAGGAATGGTGTCACATTCATCATCAAAAAGAACATTTCAAGATCTATCTTGAAGTACAATGCTGTCTGTGATAGGGTAATATCCATATACCTACAAGGAAGACCAGGTAATACCACTATTATTCAACTTAACACAGCAACCACTGAAGTCAGTGATGATGAAATTGAAGAATTTTACCAACTTCTTCAGTCTGAAATTGACAGAACATGAAATCAAGATGCAATGATAACTTCTGATAATTGGAATGCAAAGGTTGGAAGTAAAGAAGGATAAGTAGCTGAAAAACACAGCCTTGGTGATAGGCGACCATACACACACACCTCACAAGATGAAATCCACAGGAATCAAACTGACTAAATCTATGGTACGAGATGGTGGAAAAGCTCAATAACATTAGCCAAAACAAGGGCAGACTGGGGAATAAACCATCAATTGCTCATATGCTGAAGCTGAAGAAAATTAAAACTAGTTCACAAGAACCAAAATATCACCTTGAACATATCCTACCTGAATTTAGAGACCATCTCAAAAACATATTTGAAGCATTAGACACTAAAGACCAAAGACCAGGAGAGTTGTGGGATGACATCAAGAATATCATACAGGAAGAAAGCAAAAGGTCATTAAGAAGACAAGAAAGAAGAAAAAGACCAAAATGGACATCAGAAGAGATTCTGAAATTTGCTCTTCAGCATAGAGATGCTAAAGCAAATGGAAGAAATGAGGCGGTAAAAGAGCTGAAGAGATAATTTCAAAGAACAGCTCAAGAAGACAAAGTCAAATATTACAACAAAATGTGCAAAGACCTGGAGTTAGGAAACCAAAAGGGAAGAACGTAGTCGGCATTTCTCAAACAGAAAAAACTGAAGGGAAAAAAAGTCAAGCCTTGACTTGAAATTTTGGAGGATTCCATGGGCAAAATATTGAAATATGCAGAAAGCCGTAAAAGAAGATAGAAGGTATACTCAGTCACGGTATCAAAAAGAAATGATCGCAGTTCAACCAGTTCAAGACGCAGCATGTGATCAAGAGCCAGTGGAACTGAAAGAAGTCCAAGCTGCACAGAAATGGAAATCTGTCAGTAAACTGAGACAGCACTGGAGGCACTCACTTGTCTATGCCAAGAAATTTGGAAGATAGCTATCTGGTCAACCAACTGGAAGAGATCCATCCTATTTGTGCCCATTCCAAAGAAAAGTGACCAAATAGAAGGTGGAAATCATCGAAAAATATCGTTAATATCACATGCAAGTAAAATTTTACTGAAGACAATTAAAAACAGATGCACCAGCACATTGATAGGGAACTGTCAGAAATTCAAGCCAGATTCAGAAGAGGATGTGGAACAAGGGACATCATTCTTGACATCAAATGGATCTTGGTTAAAAGCAGAGAATACCAGAAATACCAGTGCTTTATTGACTATGCAAAGGTTTTAGAATATGTTGTTGTTGTTGTTAGGTGCCATCGAGTCAGTACCAACTCATAGTGACCCTATGCATTGCAGAATAAAACACGGCCTGATCCTGGGCCAACCTCATTACTCTTCAGTCCATTGATGCTGCCACTTGGCCAATCCATCTTCCTCTTTTTCTCTGACCCTCCACCTTACTAAACATGATATCCTTCTCCAGCAACTGGAGAAGACAATATGTCCGAATCATGAGAGACAAAGTTTGGCCATCTTGGCCTCCAAGGAGTACTCTGGCTGCACTTCTTCCAAAACAGATCTATTGGTTCTTTTGGCAGTCCATGGCACTTTCAATATTCTTCTCCAACACCATAACTAACTAAGGATAACATTGTGAAATACAGGTATTCCAAAACACTTAACTATGCTTATGAGAAACCTTACATAGACCAAGAGGGTGTTATTAGAACAGAACAAGAGGATACTAGATGGTTTAACATCATGAAAGGTGTGCACCTGGGTTGTATTTCATGCATGATACTTGTTCAATCTGTACGCTGAGAAAGTAATCTGAGACATCAGATTACATGACGAAGAATGTGGCATCAGAACTGTGATATGCAGATGATATAATCTTGCTTGCTGAAAACAGAGAGAACTTAAAATACTTACTGATGAAGATGAAAGACTACAGCCTTCATTATGGATTGTTTCTCTATGTAAAAAAAAAAACACAAAAACAAATCCTCACCACTGGACCAATAAATAACATCACAAGAAATGAAGAAAAGATCAAAGTTATCAACGATTCCATTTTGCTTGGTTCCACAACCAACACACACACAAGCAGCAGTCAAGAAATCAAATGACATATTGCATTAGGCAAATCTGCCACACAAGACCTCTTTGAAGTGTTCAAGAGCAAAGATGTCAGCTTGAGGACAAGGTACACCTGACTTAAGCCATGGTATTTTCAATAACCTCATATGCATGTGAGAGTTGGACAGTGAATAGGACAGACAACAGAAGAATCAATGCATTTGAATTCTGGTGTTGGGAAGCACATTAAAAGTACCATGGACTGCCAGAAGAACAAACAGATCTGGTGTTAGTGGAGGAAGGGTAGCCAGAATACTCCTTAGAAACCAGGATGGCGAGACTTTGTCTCTGATACTTTGGACATGTTTTCAGGGTGCACTAGTCCCTGGAGAAGTATATCATGCTTGGTAAAGTGGAGGGTCAACAAAAAACAGGAATACTCCCAACTAGCTGGATTGACACAGTGGCAGCAGC